AACTGAGGTTTGATTTTGGTTTGTTTTTTCTTCCATTTAAAGTTTTCTCCAGAGTTTCCCTGGATGAAATTTCCCAGGTTTTCACTAAAGGCAACCACAGTCAGGGCTTTCAAGGTTCCTGGTGCATCAGCTGTTTTTGAAATCTGTCTTTTCCTTCCCTGTGTCTCAGTTCTCCCTTTATAAATCAGGAAATAATAACTCAGCACTTGTCTTTTCCATTTACATTCTTGGGTGGACAAGGATTGTTCTGCTGGTGTTTGTTTATAAGGAATACAGCAAAATGAGCTGGATTTCATCTGGGACCTGATGTTTTACTGTAAGCAAACTGAAAGAGCAGAGTAAGGACCTGGGGTCCAAATGAAATTGTTCAAAGTTTTTTTAAGAACTTCAACTTTTTACAGTAGAAATATAAGTTTAATTCTTTTATTCACTTTGCACCTTGCTCCTACTAAACCCCACTAAGATCAGAAGTATTGGGAAGAATCTCTACCTGATCCTCTATCTGAAATGTTTGTTGAAAGGGAGAAGACAAATCTGTATGAATAATTTGGAGCAAAAAACCAACCAATCAGACTTACAGCTCACATATCCCAAAGTACACATTCCCTCCAATAATTTATTTGTTCACCTTAGCAAGATTTCATATACATTCAGTATTTTGTTCAGGGAAATGACCAGCATGAACTGTTCAAACATGATAAAGCTGGAAAACAGCACATAGAAAATTCAATGACACAGGAATCCCACATTCGGAAAATGAAGTGCCTGTTTCAGGAGAAATCTTTTAAAACCAGCCAAACTTGTACAACATGCAGGCAAAAATCTGCTGCAGGCAGAAGAAAAAAAAAAAGCCAAAACCATTTTTTTGCTATCAAAGACTGGCAAAGCAAAAAAAAAAAAAAAACCAAAAAAACACCAAAAAAAAACACCCCACAAAAACAAAACCAAAACCAAAAACCAACCAAACAAAAAAACCACAAAAAACCAACCCAAATCAGCTTGTATACAATTCCCACAGTCGTACTGTCAGGAAGAATTGAGTATTCAGTGAAATTCAGGGAGGTTTTCCATCATTGGCTGAGTGGACTTGCTTTGAAAGTGGAAATATGCTGAAATGCTAGGCAGGTTTGTGTTTTCCTGCTTCAGAAAACAGTTTACTAGAGCTGAATTTTGGCACCTGATAGAAATTTGGATTAATGCAAGAAAGTCTCACTCTTTGGATGAGATGTTGAGCTGTAAAATCATGTTTATTTTCACTATTAACATGAGGAGGTTTTTGACTCTGAAAAAGACCTTGATGTTACCATGATGATAAAGGAGAGGCTGTTACTCATCCTGGGTTTGAGCCCAGTGTTGCACTGAGAGAGAAATGTTCATTAAGTGGAGCCTTGAGCCTATTGTGGGACTGACAGATGTGTTATTTCTCACGTGATTGTAGCCGTCCATAGCTCTCCTCCTCAGCAATTCATTTCCCCTTAGCTCACATTTGCTATTTTCTCCTTCTCTGTCAGCATGAGAAATATGCAGTGTGCTCTGCAGAGAAGGAATGACATTTCACTCCAATCCTTGAGACAAATTCTCCATCTCCTCCTGGGAAATCAGAGATTCAATTACATCTGTCAAGCTGGGGGGAAGATCTGTATTTTAAAGCACCACAGGCTACCTCTGTAGTGTCTTGTGGTTTTTGTAGCACTGTCATATATGAAATACCTTCACAAATATTTGAGTGTGTGAGAGGTGCAGGCAGAAAGCAGATGCTGCTGTGAGAGCAGCTGTCTCATGACCTGTTGGATTTTTTCTGGCAAAGGATAACACTGGTGCAGGTCCCAAATTTGCCTGCAGCTAAGTGCAACACTTTGAATACCAACTGGCTTTTCTCTTTGGCTCTGCTGTCAGAAGAGATCATCCAGGAAAAATTGGTGCCAACACCCTGTCTCCTTGAGTTCGTTTTCAACATTGTCTTGCTTATCCAAACCACATTAAGACAGGAAAGAGGGTCAAGGTATCTCTGGGTAGGATGTGGAGTTAATTACCCAGTATGAATTCAGCCTGGGACAACTGAAACCTTGCTGGATGAATCACTGAGTTGCTCTGTGCCTCAGTAGCTTTATTTTAAAATGTAGTGCCTAATAAAACCCCAATGAGCCATGAGCAACAGTAGCTCAAGGCCAACAGGCACACCTAGAAATGGGCACTTCCGCTTCAGCAAAGCAGTAAGATCTTTTTTAACTGACTTCAATCAGTACAAGTTGTTGCAGCCTGTCAGTGTTGCCTTTCAGAACATTGAAAAAGTCAGGCAGGGAAATTTTTAAAAGAATCTTTGTGAAATCCATTTGCTTACTCCAAGTAGAGAAGCAAGATATATTCCTGCCTTAATCTTTCTTCTTTTCAGTGCTATGGATTTCCAGTACATTAAGGCCTGGCAAAGGAGAATATTCTTTTACACAACGCACAATTTATCCTTGGAGTTGGCAGAGAGAAATAAAGAATATAAAAATGAGAAGACATTTATTTGGATAGTGGGCAGAACTTAAATATTTTGGATTTTAAAAATCTTGCAAAGTACACGAAGCCTCAAAAACAGCAGAGAGTATGTCTGAATTGACTGTGGAAACTGGACTTTCGCTACCCTGGGATGAAGAGGGGTTAGTGATCTCCTTCACCTCAGCCTGTGCAAATTAGGATCATCTCTGTGATGCTCCAGCTATCAACCCTGTGCAGCACAGACTGTGCTCCACCCAACATGGAAATCTTGGCTGTCACTCCAAAGAGAAAACCCTGACCCGAGAGGATGGTGGGATGTCAGAGCCATCCCTTGGAGGTTTCAGGCAGGAGACATCACTGTCAGGTCAGTGTAGATCACTGGATGTGGTTTTGAGGGGAACTCCTGGCACTCCACTGTGCTCACTTTCCATCTGGCCACTCTGCTCTCTGCTCTGTGCTCCTGCAAGGTCTCACAAGACAGAATCCTTATGCTGGGAAGGTTTTACAAGTGATGATTGATGTCCAGCCTCTGGGAAAACCTCTTGTTCTGTTCATGCTTTTAGACAGACAGATACATTCAGCCTCTGTGACTGCAGCTCTTTCACCAGTGCCAAATTCACTTTAAATAACAGGAAAATATGGGCTGCTTGAATCTGCACTCCTTTTTTTTCTTCTGTTTCCTAGATCTCCTTCTATGGTTTTTGCGACTTCTCAGTCCAAATACCCACCAAAATGACAAGTGCCAATGACCCTTCTTGCAACAAGGGAACAGGGCAGTTTTCCTGCAGAAATTCTCTGAGGGAGCCAAACAAATTATGTGTTTGTTGTTGCTGGCAAACCTGGCAGCAGCAGAGGTGTGGCCGGGACCAGGCTCACCTGATGCTGAGGACTAGGAGCTTTTCAGAGTCACTGGACACAGCGACATTCTTTAGAATCTGTTTGAGGACAAAAAAAAAAAGGATGAAGATGAGACCAAAACTTCATTATTCCAACCTCTGTCTCTGCCACGCAGGAGAACCGTGCTACATCCATGTCCATCCTGACACTGCCAGCAGTAGGTTGACTTATTTATCTTCAACTTACAGGGTCAGATTATATTGCTGCATCAGAATTGCTCTGGAGTTTAATTAATCCAGTTGTGGAAGCCTCCATGTGTAGCTCCACAATAACTCTTTGCCTGACACTGTGAAACCTCAATAAATCTGAAATTACTGCAGCAACCCTGTGTAAATCTCCCAACTCCAAAGAAGATATGGCAAAAAGGGTCTTATTGGTCATAAAACAAGTATTGGTTGTAGAATAAGACAGGATTGGGCACCAAGAGTGTGCAGTGAAGACTTTAAATCTTGCCAGTCCTGCTCAATTTAAGAAGTGTTTTTTGAAAATGTTTCAAAATTCAGGTTTTGTCCAAATACATGTCCCACATATTTGAACCCTGTGAGACTGGGAACCTTGGCCATGAGTCTCACGTGACTTTCTTATGAGATTTCCAGCTTGTGTCCTTCTGCTCTTGGCTTGAGCACCATGAGAATATTTTCTTACATGGTAATTCCACACTTCTAGCTTCAAATTCTAGGCCTGAAGAACCTTAAGTGTGAGGTGGATTTCTTATTTGAGCTAAAACTGGGATCATGCAACAGATTTGTGTTCTGTGAGTGCATAAATAAAAGACACAGGAGACAAATCCTCCTGACATTGGGGACTTAATACTGAGCGAGAGATAAATAAGCAATGATTTCTCATGAACACCAGCAAGGTGTTGTTTCAAGACCCTGTCCTGTGATAATGACCCTTATCTTGAGCCGTTTCCCTTTTCAAGGCAGTGGATCTTCAGCACAGCAGCTGACACAGACAAGAGCAGGGGCTCGTGTGTTGTTTCAAGGAGCTGAATTCTTATTTGGCAGGCTCAGGAGGAGTTATGTCAAGAGCGGCTTATTTCTAATATTGTACAGAGAATTCCTCCCACTATTTCTTCCAGATGCTGGCCATCTCATTTATTTATTTATTTGGATTAGCTGTATTAAAATATAACATGCTTCCAAATTCTTTGCTCCCAAATTCCCAAGGGATGGCCCTTTCTCATGGGGATGGACATCCTTAAGCCTTTTAACATGTTTAACTCCCCCTGCTTAGAACAAGGAGAAAATTCCTGACTCCAGAGTACCAGGATCTCACAGAAAGCTTTGAGCACTTGGTCACTTCCCGACTTGAAGGAGTCGGGAAAAAGAAGGCAGCAAAACACTGGGCAGGGAGACAGGAAAGATCTGTAGTTTTTCCAGTGACTGTGGCACTGATCTGGCTATTGAGAACCCAAGCAAAGAACTACTGAGCCTTTCAGCAGGTTACTGATGGACTCAGAAGATGAAAAACAAAAGGATGAATGCAAGTGAGTTCTTTGAGCCTTGTTTGATAAGGACTTACCTAGTTCTGAGTTTTATTAGACCTGCATCGAGGCGCAGGGATCACCTGAACAAACCAAGTACACATGCAAATTTTCGTTTGGTGTGGTGTGGAGATTAGGGAGGATGATTGTACAAAAAGGAAAAGTTCTCCTTGGTCTCTGAAGCTTAGTGGAGTGCAGTCACTTGGATCAAGTTTTCCTTGTCAATGGAGTTGACTGAAATCCACAGGTGAGGTTTGGCTTTATGGGGAGGGGTGGAATCACAAAATGGCTCTGAAGGTGGAGCTGCCACAGAGTGTCAAGGCTGAAATCAGCACAGGGTCTTTGTGGTTCTCACTTTCTCCTCCACTGCCCCTAAATGAGAGCAGTGTGAACTTGAAAGGAGGAGAATAAAGGGATAATGCTTTTAAATGCCATGGAAACACCTGGCAGATGCTGGACTCTCAGAATAACATCCACTGAAGCCATGCACTATCTTTGAGGGGCTCCATTCATGCACCCAGCACTCACAGACATCCTTCCTCTAAAGATTTGGCCCTGTTTCACTTGTTCATACCTGGATCCTTTCAACTGTCATGCCTATTCCTACTTCCCCATAAAAAGAGTGACATCCCATGAGGCCCCCAAGCTGCCAACCTGGTGCACCCAGCCGGTTATACATCCTCCCCACTCTCGCTCAGGGAGATTGAGTGGATTTTAATGGTCGGCACTTTGCAGTTCTCATGGACGAGACTCCCTGAAGTGCCTGCACAGCAGCATTCCTGCAGGAACCCTTTGCTCTTGGCTTTGGCACCTGTGCAGTCTTTGGAAACGGCATTTTTGGTGGGCACGCCCTGCACGGCGGAGAAGATCTTCCACTCGCAGACCCCGTCTGACTTGGAAATCTTGTAGAAAGTTTCTCCTGATCCCACGGGGATCCGGACCACCCCTTTGCCACTCTCCATGCTCTGGCCTGCAGGATGGTTGAGGTTGAAGCTGGGGGTTTGCTTCATTGCTGGCTGCTTCCTCAGGAGGCACTGAGCTCTCAGGACGTTATGGAACGCTTTCTTGAACTCTTGACTTGAGCATGGATAGATGATGGGGTTGATGCAGCTGTTTAAATAACCCAGCCAAAATGTTATTTTAAAAAGTGTGTCCGGGGGTTTGATTGCAGGAAAGAAAGAGCCTAAAATGGAAAATACGCAGAGTGTTAGGGCAGAGGCAGTGAGGAATTGCAGGTAACCAAAGAAACTAAAACACTGGAAAAAATAAATAGGATTCTGTTCCGTCTTGAAAAAATTATGATTGGAAACACAATTCCTGCAGGAACAAGTGTTTCAGGATCTGTGGTGTCATGCAATTGCATGGATGTTCCATCAGAAATAAGTCAAGAGAGCTATTTTATAATTACAAGAATTATATTCCCATTTGTCATGGATTGACACTGGCACAGTGCCAGTGCCCCCATGAGAGGTTTATTCCCCAAAAATGGTTACTGTGAGATGTGACCCGGGAACAGAACAAAGCAGGCTCTAACTTGGGAGAGGTCTGGTCTGCTCACCTGCCGGACTCCAAAGAGGAAGTCTCTCTGCGAGTGCTCTGCTTTTAACCCCTGTGTGTTCTCAGAGGCGTATCCAAGTCCCCAGTGGCCACACCAGGTGCCAATCTGAAATTTGGCCACTGATTGGTTTGACCATAACTTCCCAAACCCTTACTTCCGGGTCAAACCATGACACCATTTATAGCTAAAGGGGCAGCCAGAGGGCTGATTCCAGGGATAGAGGAAAATTTCTTCCTTAGGGACTCCTAATTCAAGATTAATTACCTAAATGACAGCAATATCTTGGAGGTCATCATAAGGGGCTTCAGATGGCAAGAAAATCCCACCATTTCAGAAGGGTTAGAGAAAAAAGGGGTTAGAGTTGACTGTGTTACAGCTAAAAGTCTTTGAAATTATGAAGTTTTGGGTACTGATATTCCCTGAAACCTTCAGAAAATCTAACTATCCATACCCTGCCTCATGGAATGCATCTAAATTTGAGAGAAATTAAAGGAAAGTTTCCTTCTCATATCAAGGAACACTGGGAAGGTTCTCATAGGCAGCCATGAGATGTGTGTATATATTTTTTAATTTTAATTTTTAAAAAAATTTATTTATATACACACATATTCTGACACGTACTTGCAATGTTACCTTCCAAAGATGATTCAAAGAGCAAGAACTTTCTTTGCTACTTCCTTAGTAAAGAAAATACTTTGACATTTCTTTTTCTATAGAATGATGAGTTATCTGCTGATTTAAAATCTTGCAAATGTTTTTCCTGATGCCAAATCTTTGGTTTTATTAAAAAAACCCAAAAAATCCCAGAAGCAAAATTGACTTGTTTTGGAATTTATACTCAAATTTATAATTAGCAGGACTTTTAGCTCTGACAAATTCTTGTCTTCATGTTTCCCCTGGAAAAACTGTAAGCATGTGGAAAGAAATACTGTGGAAGGTTCAGGCATCGATGCATCCATCATCCTCTGCAGTTTAACCATATCTGGGAGCAGCTCCTAAGCTTTACAGGGATTGATCTGTTCCCTGGACCTCTCCTGGCCGAGGAAAACTGATAATGCCCTCTGAGGATGTTCTGATTGAAATCTGAGAGCTGCTCAACTGCTCGAACCTTTTTCCTCAGTCTTTGTCAAACAAAGCTGCAGCACTTGCAGCAAATGCTTTCAAGTGGCCACAGCAATTCTTAGGGTGGTTTTGCCTGTGTGGGAATGCATCAAAATCCTGCCTGGGCCAGAGGCACTCCTGCTGCAGGGTGATTAATAACCTGCTCATCCTGCTGAGCACGGGATCTGCAGGGAAATGTGGAGTGATCTTGTGGTGGCAGCAGCTTCTGCACCCTGAGCAGAACCCATGGCCCAGGGACACTGCTGCCAGGGAGGGGACAGGACACGGGGCAGGGCGAGAAGCCTTGCAGGAGTCTCTGACCTCAGACCAGGTGGTGTGTGTGTGCTACAGCAGCAGAGAAGTGACACCAAGTCAGGATCATCACAGGATGGTTTGGGTTGGGAGAGACCTTAAAACCCATCCAGTGCCACCCCCTGCCATGGGTAGGAACACCATCCACTATCCCAGGGTGCTCCAAGGCCTGTCCAGCCTGCCTTGGACACTTCCAGAGATCCAGGGGCAGCCACAGCTGCTCTAGGAATTATGTCCCAGCCCCTCTCCACCCTCACAGAGAGAAATTCCTTCCCAATATCCCCTCCACCCCTGCCCTCTGTCAGTTTGCAGCCATTCTCCTTGTCCTGTCCCTCCAGGCCTTGTTCCAAGTCCCTCTCCAGCTCTCTTGGAGCCTCTTTAGGGGCACTAAACTTTTCCCAAAGCTGTCTCTTCCCCAGGCAGTGCAGAACATGCCACAGGAGCTCTGTCTCTGTACTGGGGCAGCTGAACCTTTGATTGCAACCTCAGATATGACATGGGCACAAAGCATGGGTCTCACTGCCTCCATGGTAGCTTCTGGTTGCTCCAAGCTGGACCAGGTAGAGCAGTTTCATTATTACTTTCAATGTCAACTAGATTTTAAGACCAAAAAGGTTTTGCTAAAGAAAACAAATGCTGTTTTGCAGTGAAGCATAAGCAAGCACACATAAACACAACCTAAATTTTTTCTCAGCAAATTAAGGCTTCTCTCCTTTAGTGAAAAACAACTAAATAACATTCTCAAATAACTTTCTGGCTGAAGTCATTGGCAGATGAAAAATAACGAAAGGCTTCTAAATGCCCAAATCATGCTCAATTTTTTTGTTTGTTTCCTCATTTAAATGAGGTGTATCTGCTGCTTTCCCATTTTGTGGTGAGAGAAAAAGTGAACCAAATCCTGGTTTAGGGAATCAGCTGTGTGAGGTCAAGTGTAAAAATGGGTAAACAATAACAATTCCTGTTTGCTGCAACTCCCCGCTCTCTCCAGATGGAATGCAATGGCTGTGCCAAAGTCTGATAAAAATAGAAAACAGCCAGTGTCAGAGTCTGTCCCTTGCTCTTTTTTTGGGGTGGGATCTGCATGTTAATTTATTAATGTAGCCTTTTTTGGTTCATCAGTGGAGACACTCGTTGTTGCCTTGGAATAACACAGTGAAAGAAAATGAAGGAGCTTTAACAGCACAGAGAATTTGCTATCTACAGATCTCACTAAACACTGACTTTCAGATAATCATGGAACGGTTTGGATTGGAAGAGAAATGAAAAGTCATCTAATTCCAACCCTCTGCCATGGGCAGGGACATCTTCCACTACGCCAGGGTGCTCCAGCCTACCCATAGACACTTCCAGGGATGCAGCAGCCACAGCTTCTGTGGGAAATCCATCCCAGTCCCTCACCACCCTCACAGGGAGGAATTTCTTCCCAATATCTAATCCAAGTGTACCCTCCTTCACCTCAAAGCCATTCCCCCCTGTGTTATCAGTGCGTGCCCTGGTAAAAACTCCCCCTCCGGCCTCCCTGTAGGGTGTGTTTGACACTCAGGGGCCACCGAAATATCTGTCCTTCTATTGCAGCCACACAGTTACCTCTGTAGCTCAGAAATATTCCCTAATCTTTCCTGTTGGCTACCCGAGTATCTAGGAATAGGGGGAAAATATCTTATTTTCCAAATCCTTGAGGAATGATGTTCCTCCCCACAGAATCCTAAGAACGTGTCCCTTTCTTGCAAACCTTTAATATTCACTGATGTTGTTGTGATCAGTCTCAGCGGCTGATGGATCTGGTAATGAGCAGGAGGCATTTTCAAACCTGGTAACAAAGTAGTTTGTTCAGTGCTGAGCTCTCAGAATGGACAGCTCAGGTCAGATGAACTCAAAGGAGAAATAAAGCAAAGATTTTGTGGTTTTTTTTTAAAAACAATGACCATAATTAATAATGAGATTAAACAAGAGTAGTGAACTATCTCTTTTTTAGGGTGTGTGGTACACGTTCCCTACAGAACAGTAAGCACAGGGAAAGCCGGTGGAGCTGGGATGAGCATTTCCATTCAATCCTTGGCCATTTGGTGACTGCCAGTTCATGTCAGTTAAAGTTTGGACACCTGGACACCACCAACCAGGGCTGAGAAAGCAGAATTTTTGCACCTAATTCTCAGAGCAAATTTTTCTAGTCCTCTCACTCCAGACCAGGTGGAATCACAGGTGCCATCCAGGTGTCCTATAGGAGAGTTGGGCGGTGAACAGCAGCTAATATATTAAGTTTTCACCCTTGAAATTAATTCTCTATGCTGTTCACTGGCCTTAATATCTTCTTTTGCACACTGTCAGGAATTAAGTTGTAAGTCGTAGCAAACCTGATTAAAGTCTAAAGGCATCACCTTACGCTGTCCCCCTGCAGTCTGTGCTGGAGGAACAGTAAAAAAAGCTTCAAGTGGTGTTTTAATGCATTTTGAATCATGGATTGAGTAAATGACACTGCAATTCCTGCTTTGTTTTCCAAAGGTTGAGGAGACTCAAGTGTCAGTAGCACAATACAATTGCTTTTTGTAAAAGTAAATAAAATAAAATGTACTGTGAGCCTCCTGAGATCTTTTGCCATTACGTATTTCATCACTCTTCCCTGGAAATGTCAGGATTGCATTTTCTTCCCGCATCTTTTATTTTCCTGTTTGTCAGCTGGAAGTTTCTTCCGCTCTGAGAGGTAAGTTTGCCACATCCCTCCCGGTGAGTAAGTGCTAATTCATTCTCAAAACTGTAATTTGACTTTGTCATTTGTCACAAGAGCTGCCTGATTATGGGTTGTTTAAAAACCAGCCCTGATGTCATGCTTCATTTCACTGATGGACAGCAGAGAGGGTTTTGGAACCTGCCAGACTGTAAAAACATGTGTTATTTACTCTGCATCATCAGTGCCAGCACTACAGGAATCAGATCCCGTATATTTGTGTGACCCATGAACCCTTTGGGGTGTTAAAAACCATCTCAGCTACAAACCCATGTCTGCTACAAACCCATGTCTGCTACAAACCCATCTCTGCTACAAATCCATCTCTACTACAAATCCATCTCTACTACAAATCCATCTCTGCTACTGAATCTTGCAGCTCTGTATAGGTTTTCTGCTTTTTCCCCCTCTTTTTATTTTGTGTAACTTAAATATGGTGACTGAGGCAGACCACAGAGGTCAGGTGGGGGTGATGCTGCTTCAGTGT